TTTAATTGAGATATATTAATTGATTTTAGCAAGCAAAACTTGAGTGCTGAGAGTACATATTTAAGAAGTGGATAAATTTTGAATTGCACTCAGGGACCAACAATAAAAATTGATCGAAGCAATATAATGTTCCAGAGTCACAAGCGCAAGGTGACAATCATCAGATAACTCAATAAAATGGCGTTACGTGAAATGTAGAGTTCCAGGGGGCCGAGAAAACTTATTTGAAGCGAGTTGGTAGCTACGTAAATTTATTGCAACACAATTACTGTCTAGCGGCAAAACTAGAGTTTCGAAAAGTATATCTGCACGCAAACCTAAATCGATAGTTTGCAACAGGTGGTAAGCCATACAAGTTTAGCCAAAATGAGACTCCGTCAATAATGGGCGCCATGTACATCGCATTGATAAGTTAAGTGTAATTTTATCGGGCTTTCAGACAGACTGACAGTGTAGTCGAATACACCCTAGGTTTGTTGAAGGTGATACTCTTAAATTGTGTCACCTATCTTCAAGTCTTTCCACTTCAAAGCGACAACGTTGATGCAGGAGCAAGTTTGTTGATTCTTGCCTACCATCCCTTCACTATTGTGAATTTCGCATGATCCCGTGTCCTCGAAGCAATCCAATCTGACAAACATGTTGAATCGAGCGTTGGTCGCAAGTGCCGCCCTTGTTACACTGAAAAGCGCCGCTACCGCTACGAGTACGCAACAATCGATGTCGAAGACTTTAAAATCGGCGAAGTGAGGACACGCCACGCAGCGTCATTATGATGCTTCCTGACGGAACTGGCCCCAACGTCGAATAGTGTTAGATCCGACGCTGAAAACACGCCTCCATATCGACTCTCACCTATGGGGACAGTGCAAACTACTCGTCAACAAAGTACCATCACGGATTCAGCTTCATCAGCAATTGCTTCCTCGACGGGATTTAAAACGTACGACTAGGCAATCGCTGTAGATACTTTGGGCAACCTCTAGGCATAATCTTATAAGCTGCCAAGATTCGAGGCATGGTAACTAGTATGATTGTGACCTGCAGTGTGACGCATGCACGACCAGCTTCGTTCGCTGCTCACGTTCTTGATCAGGATTCTGAGGCCGACATTGCAGCTCAGGATGTGACAAACATTTACTTGAATTTCCTGCTTGTTAGTGATGAAAAATGCTTTAACGATTCAATGTTATAGGTTTTGAGGTCGAACGGATAATCACTTTCGTAAAATCACCAAGATGTACTCGATTATCAGTCGGCCAACGTTGCCACGGGTGCTCTCTTCGGCTATTTGGTATATTCTAAGACGACCATATGATGTACGAGGTTGATCGACTTCGTGAACTTTCTACAAACAATTCTACGGCTCGGAATCCTAGACTTCCCGAAATGTTTGATATCGTTCGGAGTCTCCTTCGCCAGAACAAGCAAGCCAAGAAGAACGGTTACTTTATCCTGATTGAAGGCTCGCGCGTTGATCATGCCGGTCACTCAAATGACCCCGGTTCTATGGCAAAAGAGACCATTGCCTTCGATGAAGCCGTGGCTGTGGTGCTTGACCACTACTAATTCTGCGATGGTGTCAGCTGCTGACCATGGTACCGGAGGTCTTACTCTTGGCCGCGGATTCCAACTGAGCAACAGTCCAAATGATGTCGACTGAGGCTATGCACGGAAAAATCCGAGCCGTTTTCGATGGTAGCGAATGCGCGAATGGATTCAACGACACGTGCAAATCGGCCCTTCTTACCTCATCTCAAGATCTTTTAGCCAGGTATACAACGTCTCGGACGAGGAAATCCGTGATCTCATCACTCAGATCGGCATTGCCGTTGGAACGCGCGATCTTCGGATTGTGATAGTGGATCAGTCAGCGTGCAGCAGTTAATTGGACAACAATGGGTCACGTTGGCACAGACGTGAATCTGTATTGCAAGGAACCGCCGACTTTCGAGCGGATGTGCAAGGGTATCCATGAAATCACGTACGTCAACAAAATAATAGCAGTTTATTTGGGGCTACTTCACCAGCAGGAGCTTGAGACGCTAAAACACCGTAACATTGCAGTGCTTGACAACCCGATTGCTTTTATAGACTGGCGCAGTTGGTAGCCCAGGGTTTGCACGTCACATCGTTCTTAGAAATGTGTACTTCTAGATTCAAGTGCCAAACAAAGTTAGGCCTAAGAAAGTATGCTTTCGAGATCAAATTCCACCAAGCGTTGAGTTGGGTACTAAACATATAGCATTTTTGCTCAAGCTTCAGACAGCTTCACAAAAGGAATAACTTGAGACTACTACAGAATGGAAAAGATCATCGAAAACATTTACAAAACCAGATGAGATCACACCACCATAAACTCGTCAGTACCGTGACTTTCCACTCCTGAAGTTACAGGGTAGCACACTACCAGGTTCACACAAGAGTACGATCGCTATATGATTGTCTCTGCCACTTTAGGACACCTCCGTGTCTACTTTCATGTGGTGTATGGACCAGTCCGTCCCGAACACCGTGCAGCGTTCTTCTAAGCCTTACCACGCCACTTTGATGATTCCTCGGTCCATATAGTCATGGGTGACCTCAACATGACTATCGATCCCGATTTGGACCAAGCCTCGCCCGGAGCCACTTACCACAAAGCCGGCCGAGCCTGAGCGCTTTGACTGGATGATCAGCCTCGGGATTTCTGGCGCCTTTAAAATCCATATAAGCGCAAATTTACGGGATCGAACTCCAAGAATCGTATCGACTATTGCCTCGCTTCTATTGATTTCTACGACAAGTTTATTCGTTCGTCAACAAATTTACGGAACAAGACCTTTGGCAATGCAGATCACACTCCAGTCGAATTCACTGCTTCATCTGACGCCATACCAACGGACAAGTCGTTACCTTTCAGGTGCCCACCTTGGTTACTGCGTTGCGAACGAATACAAGATCACTTCTCATCAAACTCAACCGTTTGGCTGCCACAATCGACCCAAAAAGGAGTCCAGGTTGCTTGTTCGACGAGCACAAACGACGGGATCGTATCTTTCTTCGTTGAGAATATAAACGGTGGAAAGATGCTACAGCCGCTCAGCTTTGATTTCTACTCGCTGCCTCTCGTGATTGTGAAAACCTCTTTGCGCTGGACTCAAGTAATTACAACCGAGTCCAAAGGGACACCTCTCGACAAGCCTTTTTGAATTTCTTACAGCAATTCGCGGACGAAACACTGTTTCAAAATTCGATTCGGATACTACTTCCGGTGAGAACTCCTCCAAACACTTTTTCCGGGCTCCCACTGCGACGGAACTAAAGCTATCGATTTTGTCAGTCGAAACACCCTTGGGATTGTCAAAGGACCCCGCTACCATCTTGTCGGCCCACCGTCAATATTAGGGCACGATCTTCCAATCGGATGCTCGAGACCTTTAGGTCGAACCTCAGCACTTCGACTCTACTAAGCTTCAAGACATACTCGGACACAGCCATCGGAAGCTCAAACATGTCCAAGTTGCAATGCTCGATGCGCCGCTTACGGCCAATGATTTCTTTTTCGCTATCAAGCATACCGCCCGCGGGAGGTCACTGGGCCCTGATGGACTTCCAGCTGAATACCACCAGCTTTTTCCCATCCAATCGGTCTTGGGGCTGGTTTACGCCGCCCAATTCCGGAAGGGTCGCATGACTAAGTCTCAACGCCGTGCCTATGTCTCTCTTCTTTTTTCAAGAAAGGCTCATGCTCGGATCCCAAGAATTGCCGACCCTTGACTTTGCTGAATCAAGACGCTAAGTTCGGTACAAAGGCATCAGTCTATCGTCTCAATCAAGTTCTACCTAGTTTACTGAACGAAGACCAATTTGGATTTGTGCCTGGACGTGACATCCGACATGCTCTTCGCTGGTTCCAATTTATCGGAACACTGCCGGCAAACAGGTTTGAGAGCTCCAGCCGGAGCAATTTGCCTCGACTTCGCTAAAGCTTTCAATAGTGTCAATTGGCATGCCCTAGATCAAGTTCTTATTCACTGGGGTTCCGGATGCAATTTTCGACACTGGGTTAAGACATTCTTTCACGGTACCCTCGTTCAAGTGTTGATTAACTCCTCATGCTCGGACTTCTTCAGCTTAGGCGCCGGCGTACGTCAAGGCGACCAATTATCCCCTGGGTTATTTGTACTCTTTAAGAGCCACTATTCTGCTATTTACGGCTACTTGTGCCAACACAGCCATCAAATTCGCACCACGTCCCACCGTATCCTCAGCTTTGCCGATGATGTCACTGGTTTGGTGAATAACCTTTAACATACTCCCAATTTTCACGCCGAGTTCACGACTTCTGTACTGCGACTGGTATGCGGCTTAACGTGGACAAATCGGTAATTTTTCCGTTCAGACCTGGACGTCCGCGGACTATGAACTCCAAACCCCCCCTTCATGAGTTAGGTGTTCGAGTTCTGAAGAATGGCGAACATACAACGCTTCTCGGTATTGCCGTTGGGCCAAGCATTAGCCCGCAGTTCCAGCTAAATCAACTTCTCGTCCCCTTCCAGAAACTCTGTGCTACTTGGAGATAGCGCGCAGGCACCCTTTCGGGAAGAGTGCTAATTTTGAAGACCATGGTTTTGTCCACTCTTTGGCATTTTTCGGGAACAGTCTCTTTGTCTAAACAAGAGCTCCTCAAGTTCAATCCGCTTATTGTAACGGGGTTACACGTACCCTGAAAACAGGGCTGTGTGTCACACGAGATGGGCATGGTGTGACTGCAACCAAATAAGAATACGGTACGTGGCTGGGTGGTCAGTAGTTATGCATGTATTTAAATTTTACTATATATGGAAATCTATGCATTTAAAATTAGGCGGCTTTGCCGCAGATAAAAATCAATAAAGTCAGTTTTTTATTTAAACGGAAGAGTTGATTAGCCTTTGATTAAGGCAACAATTACTTTTGGAGTAAGCGGATTGCGATCCGCTAAACTCGTACTTGTTCTAAGTATAGAATGAAAGGTCCGTGACCTATCTTACACTTCCTCAAAACGCAAAGCTACGTCAGCCCCGCTGCACTTGGTAGCACTTGTAGTCAATCTACACCTGAGTCGTTTAGACT